GAAAGAAAGAAAGAAAGAAAGAAAGAAAGAAAGAAAGAAAGAAAGAAAGAAAGAAAGAAAGAAAGAAAGAAAGAAAGAAAGAAAGAAAGAAAGAAAGAAAGAAAGAAAGAAAGAATTGGTATGTGCAAGCAAATATAGACAGTGGCACAATCTACAGCTTAGATCACTCCATGTATTCAGACCGGGAGGAAACCTAAACTACAGTTAATTCAGGCAGACCAGCTGCTGCTAAAAAAACACTGAACACGAGTGTGCCCACAAAAAGCCTTTACATTCCCTTATTAGGCCACCATTTAAGTGAAGATGGCACTGCCTTTCTTTCCCAATTGTGTACCATGTCTTCCTGGGGCAATGATGGTGAGGGCCTTGCAACAAAAAAAAAGTGGGGGGAGGTAAATAAGTGCAGGCCAGAGTGTGCCTGTCTGGGAAATGATTTTGGAGGACAAGTGGCAATAGGACAGCCTGTGGATAAGTAGTGCTTCTCTCTCCCTCTCCATCTGTGTATTCTGCAAGGGCTAACAAAGCACTTTTCAGAGGGAGATGGAGAAGCTATTAAGTTATTAGTTGGATTCCTGGGGACAAAAAGGAAAATGAAGCGGGCATGCCATAGAGCGCCATACAGCCCAGCTCGCTTCTGGCAGCAGGTCAGAACAAGGAATGCATTCAAAAGCTGCAGAAAGAAAACTATAGGATTCAGGGAGAAAACAATAAGAGAAAGCAAAACTTGATGCTCCTGGAGCGGTGGGGGAGGGGGGGGACTAAGGCACTTGGAGCAGAGCCTTCCTGGCCTGCATGACCCCCCCCCCTTCTCTTAGCTAATCCCCTTTTCAAGATGCCAAGAGAGATTTACATCAAAATAAAGGAGCAGCAGGCTCAGCATCTAAAAAGTCACATCCATCACTCTCAGCAGCTGTTCAACCGAGGACTGAATCCCCCCAACCCCCCCCCATGAGCGCAGATCCATTTTTGGGAGCGGGTGAAAGACTAAGTGCAACCCCCACGTGCCACAACAGAAGGGAGGGAAGCCCAGCTGGGCTTTGGCAGAACAACAAGGCGCAGGAACCCCAG